TTAAACCTTTACTAATGATATCCTCTTACTTCTTAGCTCATTGACATCCCTAGCAAGGATTCAAATCGATTCTTCTTCATAAGTCAAATCTTAACTCAGTTCAACTAGTTCAAGGGGATAACATGGGATGAATCACATTGGTATATTTCAAGCATGGAGACGTGAAACACATTATCTCTCGAGGCAAAGCTAACCAATAAGCCATTGGCCTAACTCTCTCCAAAATCTCATATGGCCTGATGAATCACATGGTCGACTTACCCTTACATCCAATTGAAGTACCTTCTTCTAAGGGAAAACCTTGAGAAATACCTATGTCTGTCAAAAGGCTCTTTCAGATGACTCTGAGTTAACTCAGTTTCTCGAATCAAGTCGAGCCCTACTATCTTGCCTTCATTAAGCTCCGTCTAACACAAAGGAGTTATGCACTTGCACCCATATAGATCCATCTGAATACTTGCCTAATAACTGTTGTTGTACGTGAAATCTACGAAGTATAGATAATCCTCCCAACTATCCTTAAGATCCAAAATGGCGCATCGCATATCCTCTAAAATATGAATAACTTGCTAGAACTGTCCGTCTGTCTGAGAATGAAAGGCATTTTTATAATTTAGTTTGCTACATATAGTCTCATGCAGTGCTTTCTAGAACCTAGAGGTGAACCGCAGATTTTTTGTCGGAATATATAAATATAATGATTCCATGTAATCTCGCAATCTTGTGGATATACATATGACCCAATCACTCTAACGTGTAGTCCATACGAATAAAAAAATGAGTAGATTTAGTCAATCAATCCACTACAACCCATACAACATCATGTTAGAATCTCATCATTAGTAGACTAGTTAAAAAGTCCATCATCAATCTCTTCTATTTCCACTACAGAATCTAAATCACCTACAACAATCCTAAGGGAATCTGATGTTTCAACTTGACTTGTTGGCACACTAAGCACTTAGCAACAAACTCATACACTTCTCTCTTCATGCCCAACCACTAATACAATGGTCTGAGCTCTTGGTAGATCTTGTTTGCTTCTGTATCACCCTAATCCAGTCTGACCCGAAGATCCATGGACTATGATGCCACATGGAACCACATAAATGATCAACCCAAAAATTTATTTTCAAAATAATCATGCTTATCAAAATTTCATCAAATCATACGAGGAATCAATTTAAAGTTTACAAAATACGGGAGTCTCCAAATACGTACAAAATATAACCCATAGTTTAAAATCAAAATAGTTATGACTCGAATAAGTACAAGGTCCACATAAAATACATGCCCTCTAAAATAGACTCATGACATAATCTGCAATGGTGCTGGAATGTATGGATGCGATAGGCTCCTTGACGACCCCTCTACTAACCTATGCATGAAAACACATTCCATACGCTAAGCTAACAAGCTCAATATCACGAAAATAACTATGCAATACTACATGGATTCATATATGAGCATGTTAATGTGCAAAGTCTTAATATGCATTAGTACATAACAACGTGAGATAGGCCAAGTAATGTGGTCAGAGGAATTTACATGCATCTCAGTTAACACACTAGCCTATCTAAAGCATGATAGCTTTGGGTAAGAACAAAAATTTACGTGCATTGGTACTTATATCCTTTAGTCTACCTCAAATATCCGATAGGTCATGTGAGGATCAAAATTCAACATGCATCGAAAGCTCTCATCTCGAACCTAGTTAAGCATATGACACAATTTTAAAATTTAATTGCATCAAAATTCGTATAGGTATTACCCGATATTTACATCATCATATTTGTACCAGCAGACAATATCCGGATACTCACAAGAAAGGATGAACGTCATAATGCTAGAGTAAATCGAGTCTCCTAGCTGTTTCCCGAGCATCATATAAAGGCAAATCTTATTTCATCCTATTGACAACTGTCGTTTTGATGTCAAAATAAATTCCTTCTTCTCAATTGATAAATGAAGATAATACCAAGTAAAGAGAAGGGTCGAATCCACAGGGACTTAGAAAATTATAAATTTCTATTTGATTTGTTTAAGCCAAGCGTGATATAGTAAACAAGGGGTTTGGTAAAAAGATAAGTAATAAAAGGGATTAAAAAAGGCAATTTTAATTGAAAATAAAAGAGTGTAACGTTGAATATGGTAAAAATAGCCTCAAGCCTCGCTTTGAGTTAATTTCCTTTAGATCATCGAATTAGTTTTTCCCTTCAGGATTCACGTTGGTTACTTTGTCTATAAGGGCAATCCCTGTAACTCTACTTGTATAATGAATACCCAAGGCAATCTTTGATTTTGGTTTCGGAAATTAATTTAATCAACATCAATTGTCGTAGATCAATTACCGTTTAAGTTCGTGGTGACCAACTTGGATTGTTGTTTCAATAACTCTTAATTCGATCTCAATTCCCTCTTGGCGAAGCTATATCACAAAGTGTGTTCTCAGGAAGTAACGTGCTTTCAATAAGTCGAATATTCCTCCCACATTTAATTACAACAACCTATTGACCAAAGTCAATATTTGATTTGAAAACTATTTGATTTAAAAAAAATAAGCGCAGAGATTAAGAGAGATATTCCGAAGTTATTAAGGGCTTGTTTCAATTCTCCCGTTGGATTTGAGTCATCGCTTTAGCTCTCGGCTTATGAAAAAATTTAGCTAAGCATGAAAAAAGTCATACTAATGGAACTCTGCTTTGTTTTTAATTTAGCTAAGCATATTTAAAAAAAAAGCTTTAAAATAAAAAGAGAAATCTAAAACTTGAGGGAAAAAATAAATAAAAGAGAAAGCTTTAATAAAACTAGAAAGAAGTAGAAGATTGTAATATGCGTTGTGTTTTAGGCTTACCCCAAGAGGGTATTATAGCCTCTAAAAAACCTAGAGAAAAATAAAGAAAATAAAATAAAATAATCCTAAAGAAAATTTTCCTAAATTCAAACTTTAAACAAGTCTCCTAATCGAACTCTGCTATTCCGTCTTCCAGAAGGTGCGTTGACTAGATCTTCTAGAAACTGCCGCTGACTGAACCTTCTAGAAACTGTCACGTCAGACCGTGTCATGCCCATGTCTCCAGCCATGACCAAATAATAAAAATGAAGAATACGCCCGTTTTACCACTAATTCTAGAAAGTAAGGCCCTACACGAAAACAAGCATAACACAACCAAATTAGTAGAAAAAATCCATAAGATTGAAGAATTAACAAGCAAATACTACCGATTTTGAACACTAATCAAATTACCCTTCACTTATCTCATGCTTTTCCTCAAGTATGATATAATCAAATAAGTCAAAAATTCCATTTACATTTCTTTGTCAAGTTTCACATTCAAGGAAGCAAGGTAGAGACCATAATAATTATTCAAGTCAAGAAATCAATCAATTGAACATCACCAATTGGAACAAGTCAAATGCAATTGTCACATCCATTCATTTATCAATATCAATTCTCATAACTCAACACCTTACAGATTCACTTAAATCACTCAATGTGTTTTGGGTATAGAAACGCTCAATGTCAGAACCGACACGATATTACCATAGTTCTGCAAGGAAATCAAATCTCCACTACTAATGAGAACACGATGTATATCAAAGGGCCTTTTATTGGTTGTAATGGGGCTTAGGTAAAGGTGGGGAAAAGGCTAAATATATGGCTCAAAATTAAATGCAAGGAACTAACAAATAACAAGTTCAACTCCATCAAATCATTAAGCACAACAAGATAAAAAGAAAAACTATCAAACAACAAAAACAAATTCGAAATGCATTTGATATTTTTCTTTTTCACATTTTTGTTGTTTTGTTTTCCTTTTTTTTTTCATTTCTTTTCTCCCTTTTTTCTGAACAACTTCTTTTGTTCTTTTCTTTCTTTCTTTTTGTTTAGAATTGCTTGTTGTTTCAATCTCTTTTTTTCATAGAGCATACATCGGATTAACTGTTCACTTGCCCTAAAAATGGTAGAAAAGAGTGATAAAATAAAAAGGATTGGGTTTATGAATATGGTGAAAACCAAGAATGAAAATAGGCTCAAGAGTGGTTAACTAGGGGAAAATGCATGGGTAGGCAATTTTAGTTGGGAAAATGGAATGGTAATCCTAAGGTGCCCAAATCATTTTTAAGCATCATGTTCATTGTAATCTTGACAGTATTAAAATGCGGGATCTAGAATACAAATTTCAATTTCGACACACTCAATCCAACAAAATGAGAGCAAATGATATGCTTGTAAAGGCTCAAATCTCACCAAATTGTTTTCATGCATTGAGCTAAGCACATTTCAACCAAAAAAATTATGTAATATCACAAAAATACCAACTTGATCACAATTCATGCTATCCACTATCAAGAACATCCTAACCTAAACAATCATGTGTTCCCAAACAATCATGGCATACCAAAATATTCAACAAAAAGAAGTTCAATGAAATTTTTCGCAAATCCAATCAACACATACTAGCATCAAAACATAGAGATAAGCAAAGAGAAATTCAATCTAGACTCTACTCCCCCTCACTTAAAGTGTTTTGCCTCAAAACGTATAATTAAAGTACTAGAGAAGAAATAGAGCTCCCCGGATTTAATGTCGACCACGACCATGGCCACGACGAAGAGGAACGACGAATTGAGCTGTTCGGGTTGATGCCGTGAACTAGAAGTATGGCCATGTGGTGTCATCGGTGGAAAACCATCATCAAAATCCTCTATAAAACCATAAATCGAATGGTACATTAGTAACAGTTGAACAAAAATAGGATCAAAATTTATCTCTGAATGCATTGAATACGACTGAAAATTGATGGGCATGGTCGAGAGGAAGAGGAAACCATAGTTGGCATAGACTAGAAGGATGGGATGGAGAGCGTGGCGGTGATGAACGACAGACAGTGCTCTCAGTCCAGGGCAGAGGAGCTGCGACGTCACCTGATTGGTTTCTCACCATTGTGGAGTGGAAGGTTTGAAGCATGTTAGCACAAGCGTAGTGGTTCGGTAAGGCCGACGACGGTGAGGAGAGGAAGTAATCAGTTGGAGGGAGTGGAAGCATTTTTGGGGAGGAGAGTAAAAGGGAGTGTAAAAGTAATTTGAAATTGATAGAGATAGGGATGGGGTACACAATCAAAGTAAGAGAATGATAGGATTGGTGGAGTGGGATAGGAGACAGAATGTTAACAAAAAAGGGGAAAACAATTTGGGATTTACTAACGTGCGTCGGTCTCCTTATAAGTGTGCTAACGTGCGCCGTAGGAAAACAACGGTATCGATACTATCAAAGGAGTATCAATACTACTATATGGAGTAATATCGATACCATTTAATGGTATCGGTACCATTTTGAGGTTCTATTTTTATGGTATCGATACTGCTAAGGCAGTATCGGTACTACACTATTTTGCTGACTTTACACTGCTCCTGGGGTTTGAATTTGGCATTGTTCGAATTATAATTTTGTAAATCTTATTCGTTTAAGCTTTATTAAAAACATTTGGTTCCTGAAAAATAAAAATAAAAATTAAATGAAACTTGCTCAATCGAAATAAAATAAAATAAATGTAACCAAATTAAAAATGGGTTGCCCCCCAAAAATTGCTTTGTTTAACGTCGATTAGCTCGACAATCTGATTCAGACTACATGTTCTAAGAGAAATACTTTTTCCACTTCATACACTTTTTCCAACTAAGAATTTCCTTATGAGAAATTCTACGATTGTATAATTATTTTATTTTCTCCTTGTATAATTTGGCATTCTCATAGGTTATTCTTTGGATCTTTTTTTAGCTTTGAAAGCTTATCCGAAATAACAGTGAAGTAGCTTTTTTTTTTCCTAAAAAGGCACTCTTTAAGTTTTTCGGCATTTGTTTCAGTTCTATCTCAGGTGCCTGTAAAATAGAAGGGAGACCTTTAGACTTAGAAAGAATCGAAAGTAAATCAGAATGAATAGAAAATAAAGTTTCCAACTCCCTGATTTCCTCATTATGGTCTTCTAACTCCTTGCATAGTTCAAAAGATACATTAGTTTCTATAAACTAATTTTCCAAAGGATCAATAATATCAACATAATTTATGCTCTCCACTTTGTCTAGGTGTTTCATTGCCTTATACACATCAAATTTAGCGACCTCACCATCAAACTCCATGGTTACAGTCCCTTCTTATATCAATCCTTGCGTTCTCAGTTCTTAGAAAGGGACACCCTAATAGAATATCGGATGAAGTATGGTACGATCATCTCCATATCAATTACATAAAAATCAGCAGGAAATATTAAATCGTTTACCTCCACCAGGACATTTTCCAAAAGTCCTTCTGGGTAGAGGACAGATCTGTCGGCAAGCTGAACTGACATTTTGTATCCTTCAAGGGCTCATTAGTAATCATATTGTAAACAGAGAGAGGTATTACATTAATAGAGGCACCAAGATCACACATGGCTCGATTTATCCCAATTTTACCAATTTTACACAGTATTGTGAACATACCTTGGTCTTTCAGTTTTAGTGGCAACTTTTTTTAGAATACAACGGAGACATGCTCTCTTATATTACCTTCTCATTCCCGGTAAGTTTTTCTATTTGTTGTGCTAAGGTCATTCAAAACCCGAGCATTCCTTGGAACTTTTGGATAACTTCAAGGAGAGGTATATTGATTTCCATAATCCAAAATACGTCTAATATTTCTTTTCCTCAACTTGTTTATGTTTTTAACTAACCTCGACGGAAAAGGTGGTGCCATGTCATAGAGAGATGGAATTGTACCCGTTTATTATTTGTCACTCTACTTTTGGGATCTTGATCAGTAGTCTTCTTCTCTTTTTGGTCAGCATCTGATCGAACAGGTGGCGCCACTACGTACCACTCCGAAGAGTGATGGCAGTGACATTCTCCCTTGGGTTTATCTCAGTTTGAGACGGAAGCTTACCTGTGATTCCAAGTGGCCGACGGTTTGAGCAGTTGACTTCTCTATTTGTTAATCTCTTGGAAGTGGACTTCAGTACGAATTTGGAACTTTCATGGGAAAGTGCTAACCTCTCGATAATTGACTCTAATCATGTCTTCTACTGCTGTTGCGGTAGTGGAGGTGGCCTTGGTTGATAAGCTTAATTTGGCATGAGTTTTGAACATAATTAAAGTTCGGATGATCCCTCCATCCTGGGTTGTAAGTATTGCCGTAGGGATTGTAAGCTCTTTGGGGAGGTCCTAAAAAGTTCCCGACTGTCTGACTTGAGCTGATGTGTCATCTTGGATCAGTAGACAACCGTCTTGGATGATCAGGTAATGCACATATTCCCATAATCTGTTTGGTCCTGACTTTCTTACAACAAGAGTTGACAGCTTCAGTTAATTTATCTATCTATTTTCTAAAGAAGATGAACTTATCTCATGAACCCTTCGAGGAGGTTCATTATTTCTGAGAAATTGTTGGTATTTGCAGCCATTGTGGAAATTTAGTCCCTAGCCTCAGTAGGAGTCATTTCACCAAGGCTCCACCACTGGGAGCATCGATCATCTTCATTTCCAAGGGAGTTATCCTTCATAAAAGTAATGAATGAGTGTTGTTAGTTAACCCATATTGTGGGCAACTACACATAACTTTTTAAACCTCTACCAGTAGTCATAGAGTGACTCTCCATCTAGCTGCTTGATTCCAAGTATTCTCCTTCGTAGTTCACTGACTTTCGTCGTAGGGAAGAATCTGTCAAGAAAAACATGAGTCATTTGAGCCCATGTAGTAATAGAATTAGGGGCAGATAAAATAACCACTCCTTAACGGAATCAGATAAGGAAAAGGAAAAGCTCTTAGTTTGATTTTGTCATTGGTTACTCCCGTTTTCTCATGCTGGAGTAGACCATACGAAATTCCGTGAGATATTTATGCGGATTCTTGTTGGAATCCACAGAATGTAGGGAGGAGATGAATAAGGTCGTTTTTTAACTGGTATAGAGTTTTGCCTTTGGAAAATCAATGCACAAAGGCTCTTGTTCAGTAGGTGCCGCAACTAACTCTTGATAGTAGGATCGGCCATCGGAATTGGTCTGTATTAACAAATTCACCTGAATTGATTCTGATTTTGGATTTGATTGTTGTCTCATTCTTTCCCGAAGCTTAATGTGTGAAAGTTCTCTAGCTTTAGCTTCGATTTCTGGGTTGTACTCACTAATGCGCCCGGATTAGTCATTGTCATAAATCAAAAGCAAACAAAAATTGTAACTTGGGCGAAGTCCTGAGAATGGCGCCAATTGACAACTGTTGTTTTGATGTCAAAATAAATTCCTTATTCTCAACTGATAAATGAAGATAATACGTAGTAAAGAGAAGTAAGGGTCAATCCATAGGGACTTAGAAATTATAAATTTTGTCTGATTTATTAAGCTAGTGATGAGTAAATAGGGGGTTTGGTAAAAAAGCGATTAAGTAATTAAAGGGATTAAAAAAGGCATTTTAAGTGAAAAAAAGAGTGTAACGTGAAAGTTGAATATGATAAAAATCGAATTAGATTTTCCCTTCGGGATTCACATTGGTTACTTTGTCTACAAGGGCAATCCCTGTGACTCTACTTGTATAAGAATACCCAAGGCAATCTTTGATTCTGGCTTTAAAAATTGATCTAATCAACATCAATTGTCGTAGATCAATTACAATTTAAGTTTTTCGACTGACTCAGATTGTTCCTTCAATAACCGTTAATTCTGATCTCAATTCCCTCTTGGCGAAGCTATCTCACCAAGTGTGTTCCCAGAAAGTCGAACGTGCTTTCAATAAGTTGAATCTTGCTCCCACACATTTAATCACAACAACCTCTTGACCAAAGTCAATCTTTGATTTTGTAAACTATTTTGATTTTGAAAAATAAGCGTAGAGATTGAGAGAGATATTCTGAAGTTATTAAGGGCTTGTTTCAATTCTCCAGTTGAAATTGAGTTATCGCTTAAGCTCTTGGCTTATGAAAAAAATTAGCTAAGCATGACAAAAGTCATACTTAGAATATTTAAAATAAATCTTTAAATAAAATGAAAAATTGAAAACTTGAGAAAAAATAAATAAAATAGAAAGCTTTAATAAATCTAGAAAGAAGAAGAAGATTGTAATCTGAGTTGTGTTTTTAGGCTTACCCCAAGAGGGTATTTATAGCCTCTAAAAACCTAGAGATAAATAAAGAAATTAAAATAAAATAATCCTAAAGATATTATTTTTCCTAAATTCAAACTTTAAAACAAGTCTCCTAATGCAACTGCCCGTCCGTCTTCCAAAAAGCGCACTGACTAGATCTTCTAGAAACTGTCGTTGACTGGACCTTCTAGAAACTGCCACTTTAGACCGTGTCATGCCTAGAGTCGTGCCCATGTCTCCAACCATGACCAAATAATAAAACAAATGCAGAATGCACCCATTCTACCACTAATTCTGGAATGTAAGGCCCTGCACGAGAATAAGCATAACACAACCAAATTAGTAGCAATAAATCCATAAGGTCGAAAAAATTAACGAGCAAATACTATCGATTTTGAACACTCATCACCTATCTTTGATTTCTAGGTGATAATTGACTTAATTTTTGTTTTCGTTTTCATTGAATACTTGAGATTTTTACGAACTCAAAACACAGCCTGACCACAAAACCAATTAACCAAAATTGCCCAAAAAATCATTGTGGTATCGATAATATGCCAACAGTATTGATATTGAACCCTTAGGTATCGATACCCACCTGATTATCGATACCAAATTTTGCTTCAATTTTTTGAAAAATAACTTGGTATCGATACCCCTAAAGGGAGTATCGATACTCTACCTTTGGTATTGATACTCCCATGAGTATCAATACCAAAATTAGCTTCGATATTTTCAAAAATGCCTCAGTATCAATATTGACCATCTTAGTATCGATACTTAACCCGAGTATCGATACTTCTGAAGGGTATCGATACTTCCCTTATAAGTTTCTGGTTTTTACCCTTCATGAAGAACAATTTCAGTATTGGAAGAACAATACCGATACCAGCAGACCTTCATGGTCTATTTTGAGCACGAAAACATACCCAAAATTCACTCAAACACTCCCTTAAGATTACCAAACCTTATTAGAGTCATATTTGAGGTCTTAGAGGTGAAAAAGTACCATTTTTCATGCTTGCAACACACAAATACGGAAGTTACCATGAAATTAATCAAACATGCTTCTATGAATAAACATACCATGAATATTCATAAAATGAACTACATATGCTATGGTCAAGTTAGAATCGTGCTACCTTGAAGCTAGGTGACTGAAAAACATTTTTAAATCACCTAAGAACTAGCTTTTCCTTTCCTATAGTCTTCGAGCTCGCCTCTTACTATTGCACTAATCCAAACAGTTAAAAATGAGTTATTAACTCATTTTAGAACTTAGGAAGGTGTTAAAATGATCCTAGAACTCAAAACTCTCCTAAAAATGGACTAAACCTCAAGATTACATAAACCCCTCTAAAACCCGTTTTTGGTTAACTTACCGAAACCTTGTAAAAAGGTCTCAAGTGGAAGCTTGGGAGATGAAGGTTATAGTGCTTACCTTAAAATTCTCTAATGAGGCTTGAGTTTCTTAAAGTTCCTAGCTTTAGCTTGGCTTGGAAGGGGAAAATAATAAAGAAGAAGACAAAGCATGAGAAAAAAAGAGGAGCAATGGTTTAGATGTGATATCATCAAACAATTAAGGGGATTTAACTTTTCTTTAAAAAATTAGGATAATTATTCTCCTAGTCCTTCCACATTTCAGACCAGAATAAAAACAACCTTTTAATAACTTGTTGGGTGATAACTCCATAAAAAGACTTTATTTTTAGTATTTTTACTTAATTTATTGCTCATATAAACTAAGTGGTCATAGCATATTAGTTGCATTTAGTTGCATTTAGGTTATAATAACATGTGGTGGATAATTTTTGCCTAAGCATGTTAGCTTGTGTGGATTGTGTGTGTGCAAGAATTAACTTAGGAGGAACATTTCAGTCATGACAATATATTTCTTGAGGGCAAGTGGAACAAAGATGACAAAGACAGTGAGGAACAAATTTATCTTACCGAGGCAAGGTGTATCTTGCAAGTCTGAAGTGAATCTGACGAATTGTTTATGTCACATGCCAGCTGTACAACTGCACTCACGTACAATCAAGCCCCCAAGATTTTGACAACAACTAGCCGCCTTTCCCTTTTTAGCTTGGAAAAGAAAACACGAGTATTTAGGGAATCTTTAATTATGTGAAATCCTAAGAGATTTCCCTTAATAAATACCCAGTCACAACAGCCAAAAAGAGAAGGCAAGGAAGCAAGAAGATATTTACTTGAACCGTGGAGTGAGTAGTTATAGTGCTTTACTTTACACCATTCTCCAACTCAACCATCCTTGGTGTCCTCCATAGTAGGCTATAGCAGAGTGGCGGTCAGGGATCGAGAGAGGCCGGCCACCAGGGTAGGCGTGGTGCTGGTTAGAGATGTCACGATAGAGCCCCCTATTTGGGAGTCGTTCTTCCTTTATTCATAATTTCTTTACTTTTCTTTGGGGTTGTATTAAACGATGATACCTTTGGATGACTTTTTGGCAACACCATGAACTGCTTTACTTGGTTTTAGTTTTATTTTTGCTAAGATAATTATTTTATGGTTTATGAATGATGCATTATGATTGTGCTTAAGTTTGTTTTGTTCATTGTTTCGATATTTTACTTTGACACTGTAAGAGCTTTCGAGAGATTGCATGGGGCCTAGTTGAAACACGTCTAGATATTGTAAGAGCTTTGAGAGAGTGTCGTTTGTCTAGAAATTGATTCTTAGATTCGAGAGAATTAAGATAGATCTACATGAACAATGAAATGGATCATAGATTATGATGTTATAACCTGCCTACCTTAGAGATAAGGAGAGGGTTTTAATCGACTAAAAGGGATAGACACTTATTAGGATAGAAAACGATTATAGTTTATATTGGGGGTATTGGTACAACAACAGTCTGAGAAACCAAGGGTTGTAGTTAAGTATAAGTAGTATTACCATAACAACCAGCCAAGAATACTCAGTAATCCTGTTAGGCATCCTAAGCATATCATAACAAATCCTTCTAGACTTAGAATAATTTCTTGTCATTGAAAAAGACTAACCTGAGTGCTCTATGAAAGTCTGAATATGTGAGGTTATTTTGAATATATTCGAATCAATGCTTTTTTTTGCCTTGTCTGTTTTAAGTTGTTACTTTTTCATATTTTCTTTGCTTCGACCAAACTTTTATACCACCATACTTTATAATATTTTCTTTCTTCACATTCACATAATTTATTGCTAATTGTTTTTCTACTTTGACAAGAATTCAGAAACTTGCTCTTGACACCTAGTTATAGTTGTGGTGAAACTTCAAAATCTCTACCAATCTCTGAGGAGAAGACAACTCACTTACCCTTTATTACTTGATTCGATTCTATATACTTGCACAGATTTGCTTGCCTCAGCATATACATTTACAAGCGATCAAGTTTTTGGTGTCGTTGCCGGGGATTGGCAACTGACAAAATTTTTGAAAATTTTTTCCATAACAAATTTTTATTTCTTGTCACCTTTTACGTTGTTAGTTTAACTCGTTTAAATATTCTTTTTTTTAAATTTTAAAAGTTTTTTTTCTTTACATGACCCTGAGATCTGCTGGTAAACCATTACATCCATTTTCCTGAAATTGAACAGTCGTTCAGACAAAGGCGACATAAACAATGAGCCAGAGAATATATGAACCAACTACAGTTTCAAGGCAACAACAATATGGGAGATCAGGGAACAAATAATTTTCCTAGAGAAGTTGGAAGACCACGAGCAATACGAGAACAATTGAATGCAATTCTTGATGATCTTAATCCAGGCATCGTGGCACCTAAAATACAGGCGACCCATTTTAAACTTAAATCGGTGATGATTAACATGCTAAACTCTATCAGTCAATTTGGTGGGTCACCTAATGAGGATGTTAGACAGCATATCCGTGCCTTTCTCGAAGTGTGCAATTCATTCAGGCACTAAGGAGTGTATGAAGATGTACTAAAGCTTAAACTTTTCCCTTATTCCATACACGACAGAGCGAGAGCTTGGCTCAGTGGAGTTCCTTCGGGCTCAATGAAATCTTGGGTAGATTTATGTAAAAGCTTCCTACTTCAATATAATCCACCCAATATGAAGACACAACTACATAATGACATTGCAAGTTTTTGCCAAGGAGTCAATGAATCCACGTATGAATGTTGGGATAGATATAAAAGTCTACTTTGTAAGTATATAAACCACGAATTTCATAACTAGACTCAAGTAGTGATGTTTTACAATGAAGTTAATTCACCTACTCGAATGATGTTGGATGCATTAGCAAATGGTACTTTGCTTGATAAATCACCCGAGGAAGCCTTCGATATCCTCGACAGGATATCAAATAATGACTATCAATTCCAGAGTACAAGGCTGGGAACCGGTATAAAAATGTCTGGAGCATATGAAATTGAGGGTAAGGATTCAGTTGCTACTCAATTTCTGCCATAACTAATATGTTGAAAAATTGCAGTATCCTAATGAGGTGAGAGAAGTAAAGGAAACCAGTATTGCATGCATTTTCTGTCACAACAACCATCATGAAAGTGAATATCCAGAAAACTAGGAGTCCGTCAATTTTATGGGTAACTATAACCGAAGCAATAACAACCCCAACTCGAATACATATAATCCTAGATGGCGACAACATCCAAATTTTCATGGGGTAATTAAGGGATCAACAACAACAATCAGGAAATTACAATAAGCCACAACAGAGTAATTCGGAACATCAAACTTTTCAAAATCATCATCAGCAGATGCCCTGGCAACACACTAAAGGTACAACTTCTTCCTCTAATACAAACTCTAGTATTGATTCCTTGGAAGTTTCACTGCAGGAATTTATGGCCTCGACAAAAGATTTCATGGCTTCAACAAAGACTTTTATGCATGAGCACTCATCAACAATAAAAAACCAAGTTAATTTGTTACAAAGTCAAGTGGCTCTTTTCAAAGCCATAGTTCCCTTGAGAGCATTGGAAAACCAAGTGGGTCAAATCACTAGGCATTACATTCATGACCACAAGGAAGTCTCTAGTGATATTGAAGTCATTAAACATCATGGAAAGGAGCAGTGCAGTGTACTACACTGAGGATTGGTACCCATATTAACCAGAATGACAAGTTTGGGACGCAATCAGAAGATTCTAACCAAAGCATTAAACAACCAAAGGATCAAGATGAAATTGTTGAATTGGAGGGATTGCCTAAGGAGAAGGAAAAGGATGAAGGTTCAACAGCTAGTCAAATAGATAGTGGGAAACTTATGTCCAAGGCAATTGTTTCCTCACCACCTATAACAAATGAAGTAGGACCTCCACCACCATTTCCTCAACGATTAAAGAAACACAATGACGAAATCTAGTTCAAGAAATTTGTTGATGTTCTGGATCAGTTGTATATCAATGTACCTTTACTTAAAGCCATCGAACTGATTCCTTCTTATGCTCTACAAAAAAATGGTAGGTAGAAAATGTTATCGCGACAAAAGAAATATGCTCTACAGTAGGCACACTCCCACCAAAGCAAAAAGATCCTGGCAGTTTATGATACTATGCTCAATCGGTGACAACTTTGTAGGATGAGCTTATTAAACTTAGGGTCAAGCGTAAATTGATTCCCCAGTCCATATTTTTAAAACTAGAAATTTGTAACGCTTGCCCAACCATATTTTTCTTACAGTTAGGTGACCAGTCTTATGTTCGTCCTAAGGGTAGAATTGAAGATGTCATTGTAAAGGTGGACAAATTTGTATTTCCAGTTGATTTCCTCATATTAGACTATGAGGCTGATGAAAATACACCCATCATTATAGAGACCCTTTTTGGCCACTAGACGAATCTTAATATATTGCGAGAAGGAAGAGTTCACGATACGGGTAGGAGATCAATGTCTTCGACTCCATGAAATATGTAGACGATTCATATAAATGCCAATGCATTAGAGACATGGAATCAATGGAGGAAGAGGAGCAGAAAACTTGCCTAGGATGGACTTTTACAAATCAATGAATACGACACTTTGTGCCAAGGCTTGAATTATCTGGCGCATGAAAATGAAAATTATGGTCCGGGCGAAAAATTGTTAGAAGTGGATTTTGATAATTTGTGCCTCAGCAACAGTCTTTCGATAACACAATTGATAGATTTCATAAAGACGGAACCAAAGTAGACTATGAAGGTAAATTATAGGAACAATCTAGTTTCCTTCATACCAGACCAGGTATGAAATTCAAAAGATTTCAAAGAAGTTAGTCTCCCAAAATCATCATTACAACATGAACCCATATTGGAACTTAAAACTTTTCCATCGCATTTGAAATACGCTTATTTATGTAGTAATAAGACTTACAAGTGATAATTTGTGCTAGTTAACCTCTGAACAGGAGAGCAGTTTGTTAAATGTTTTGTCCGAACAAAAAAAACTCTTG